GTTGCACTTTCTCCAACAAGACTTGTTTGTTCTTTTGGCAGTCACGGATATTCAGGACTCTTCTCCAACACCACCGCTCAAAAGCAACGATTCTTCTCCTGTCATCCTTAGTTACTGTCCAACTTGATTATGCAAAGGCATTCGACTGTGTGGATCACAACAAATTATGGCTAACATTGAAAAGAACGGGAATCCCAGGATAATGGTGCTCATACAAAACCTATACCTATTCCAACAGGCTAGTCTGCAAACAGGGAGAAATGGATGGAGAGCCCTTCCAGGCATAACCTTCCTTGTTGTTTTTCCTTAGGACCTCATTCTGGAATTATCTGTGGTGGTGATGAAGTGGGATTAGGGTGAACCCCACCTTACTAGAAGGCATAACCTAAGCCACCACCCTTATTTCTCTTGGGAGTATGGTTTACAGCCATGAGATCTTATCAGGAGAAATGCTCTTGGAAGGTTCCATTCTTTTTCTATCTAGACACTGCATCTGACCTGATCCAACTGTTCCAGGAAGTGAGAGCTGCAACCACCAGCTGGTCACTCACTGCCCTCTGTAATGGCTTGTGTCATTCACCCTTCAAACCCCGTCCACAGATCTGGGACATGCTGCCTCCAAAGCTATGTGAGCCATTTTCTTGATAGTTGTGAGTTTTTGTGAGGCTTTCTGGTGAATTACCAAACCCAGAGACACCGACGAGAGCGAGAGGACTGAGGAGAAGAGTGGTCGATGTTCGAGATGGTGGAGGGTATAGCAGGTTGGAGGAGCTGGACATATGGGACATACTCAACCTCGGCCTTGCAGGAACCAGTTTTGTACTAACCTTTTTAAAGGAAGTTATTCCTGTACCACCAAAACTAATACTTACTAATATCAAAGCCAAGAATAAAAAATAAAGTTGTTTTTGTTGTTGTTGTTATTGCTGATGAGTCACCTACAACCCATAGTGACCCTCTGTACAACATCTCTGAAGCCTGCCCTATCCTGAGCCAGTCTCACTGACTCCAACACACCTACTACCCTCACCACCCCAAGTTACTGTATCGATTCATCTGATTTGGGGTCTTCTTTTCCTGTGCTGTCCCTCCAAGGATTAGTCTCTCCTGGCCACACGCCCAAAGTATGTGAGACAGGGCTTCAAATACCTAACCCCCAAGGAGAAACATGGTTTCATCCTCTCCAAGACAGACCTATTTGTTTTCATGGTGATCCATGGTGTGTTCAAGACTCTTCTCCAGCACCACAAATCAAAGGCATCCATTCTTCTTCTGTCATCTTTAGTCATTGTCCAGCTCCCTGAAGCTTTGCAAGTAATTGAAAAGATCATGGCCTACATCAGCTTCACCTTAGTCTCTTGACTGACATCGTTGCTCCTCAGTACTCTGGAGAGGTCCCCATTAGTGTAGAAAATGTTAAACACTTAGAAAATGCTAAGCAGTTATTGTTAGGTGCTGTCGCATTGACTACAACTCACAGAGACCCAACCCTGTGAACAACACTCCTATCCTGCCATCATCACCATCTGACGTGTTTGAGCCTGTTGCTGCAGTCACTGTATCAGTCCATCTTGTTGAATATCTTTCTTTTGCTGAGTCTTCACCTTTCCAGGTATAATGTCTCTAAACAACCTCTATGTAGGATAAGCAGGGATGTATCAGGGACATAGTCTCTGGCTCTGGCCCTTGACCTTTCTACTCTCTGCTCCCACATAGCCACCTCCAACACCCTCAGAAAGGAAAATATGCTTGGGACCACCCACTCCCAGTCCCCTGCAGTAACTCTCCAGGGCTCTTAAATTTGCTGGTTGCAGAGTGGAGTATACTTGGGGCAGGGGGTGGGGGTGGAGGGGATGGGGGGGATTGTATACCAATGAAGGAATGTTTCTTTTACTTTTCAAAGAGAAGAGCGAACTGGGGGTGGGGCTGGGGTGGGTGGGGAGAAAAGTGCAACAATGAATGAATGGAAATCCAAAATCTATGTATATGTGCATTGAAATTAATAAAAAGGAAAAAAACATTTGCTGGGTTGACAAAGTCGCTCACCTGGTGGCCACCGCCTATCTCTCCTCTCTCTCTCTCTCTCTGTCACACACACACACACCCTCACTTCAGCCCTGCCTGCAGAGCTTTAGCACACTCCTCTCTCTCCTGAGAGTGCCTTCCTAGTGTCTCCTCTGCGCTCTCTAGAACACCATTTTCTTGGAAAGCCTTAGGAGTCCCTGGAGACCATAAATGGTTAAAAATTTGACAATCAACAGCAAAAAGGAGCACTGGTGACACAGCGCCTTATATGTTGGGTTGCTAGCTGAAAGGTCATTGGTTCAAATCCACTGAACCCTCTGCATGAGAAAGATAGGCAGCTTCTCTCTTAAATGATTTACAGCTTCAAAACCAAATGGAGGGTCACTGTGCATGGGAATCAACTCCATGGTAGTTTGAACCTACCTGGCTGGTGATCTGAACCCACCCAAAAGGGCCTTGAAAGAAAAGACTCAACATCTGAAATGTCACAGCCCTGAAAATGCCCTGGGGGCCACCATGAGTCAGAGTCCACTGGGGGCCTTTACTTTTTGCTTTTTGTTCTTTTCCTTTTTTTAAACCTTAAGTCTAGGTTATGCAGTTGACACAACCTTCCTTACTGAAACTTAGGACGACCTGAAGGGCTTGCTGCAGAAGGTCAAGGACTGTAGTCTTCAATATGGACTGAAGCTCAATATCAAGAAGACAAAGATTTTCACCACTGGGCCAACTGGCAGCAACATGATGGATGGAGAAGAAATTGAGGTCATTAACAATTACAGCTTGTTCAGTTCCACAATCAACACTTTTGGCACCAGTAGTCAGGAAATCAAAAGACAAATTGCATTATGTAAATCTGCTGTCAGGGACCCCTCCACAGTACTGAGAAGCAATGGTGTCAGTCTAGAGACTAAGGTGCGCCCGATCTAGTCCATGGTCTATGCAATAATTTGTTATGCACCAGAAAGCTGGATAATGATGAAGGAGGGTAGAATAAGAATGGATGCCTTTGAGTTGTGGTGCTGGAGAAGAGTCTTGAACATGCCACAGACCGCCAAGAAAACAAACAGGTCTGTTTTGGAGAGGGAGAAACCAATTTTCTCCTTGGAGGCTAGGATTTTGAAGCTCCATCTCACATACTTTGGGCATGTCTCCAGGAGGGACTGATCCTTGGAGAAGAACATCATACTTAGAAAGGTGGAAGGGCAGCGCAGGAGAGGAAGTCCCTAGACGAGATGGATTTATACAGGGTATCTAGGTAACTAGAATTGTGTTGTTGTTGTTGTTGTTGTTCTGTGCCGTGGAGTCGCTTGCGACTCATAGCGACCTATGTACAACAGCCCTAAACTCTGCTCTGTCCTGTGCCAGTCGCACTGTCTCTGACACTCCCATCCTGATTATTCTAGTCACTTAATCAGTAGTAAGGGTAATTGTGTTGGAATCAGTGAGATTGGCTTAGGACAGGGAAGGCTTCAGAGCTGTTGTACAGAGGGTTGTTATGAGTCGCAGGCAACTCGATGGCACCTAACAAGTCTAGGTAAGGTTCCCTCCCGCATCCTCAGCATCTTTGCCTTTGTGATCCTATCACCGCTGCATTATTTGACTTACTGTTTAATATCTATTTCTTCACTGTGTGGTGAGTTCTGGGAGATCAGGGACCATGTGCCTCATATACATGCTGAATAAATATTTATTGGAAAAATGAATATGTAATTTTCCAGGACAAACCTGATACACTTTCGTGGTGAATTTCAATTCTACTAAATAAAACATGTTTCTGAGGACAGGTAACCTATTGTTTTCTTTACAAAAGCAAAGCAAGCATTTCTTTTAGTGGACTAGAACATGCATATGCATTTTAAAGCTGAAGCACAAGATTTCCGAAATGCCTCAGGTTTTGCACCCCCCTTGCCGACTTTCCTATCAGTATTGTCCTTAATATAAACTCCCATCTATATGAGCTACATGGTGTGGAAAAAGATCCATTTCCCAAATTTTCTGGGTAGCCACGCATTTTGCAAGATGAGAATTGATGTAGGAAAACTGTTCTGCAAACTACAAAGCTCTCTGCAAATTTAAGTGAGAAATCTGGTCTGATTTGACTCTTATTACACGGCCAATTATAGGTGGGGCTGGCGCCAGAGCCCAGGCCCCCAGAGGCCTCGCCAACTCACTCTTTTCATTAACACACAGCACCTGCCACCTGGTCCCTGGTGCAGAGTCCCCACCCTCCCTCCCGAGGAGCCATATAGCTGTGGCTACTTAACCTATCCCCAAATACGCATGATGTTCCCATCCACCAGATTGGAGAAGCGAGAGCAAGGTGCGCATTTCCTGGCATCAGAAACCAGAGGGGTTTTGCTCTTCCCAGCGGGACAGGGCAGCTCCCCGAAGGGCTGCAGACCTGCCGGCTTCGTTCCGGCCCGGAGGCGGCGCTCCCCCTGGCGGCAAACGCGCAGGACTGCAGCGCGCTCAGGACCGCCGCTAGGCCGTGCGGTGCGGGCGGAGAGTACTCCAGGGCCGGGGAGCTGAAAAGCTCGGCCGTAACTACAGGAAGAGGATCGAGCGGCGAGGCTGCCCGGCTTCAGTGCGGCTGGCTCCTACGTGCAGAGGGTGGGCACCACTGCGTTGGGAAACCGGGGACTTTCTTTGGCTTTCGCCGAGGAGGAAACATCTAGCCCCGCAGGGAATCGGCCCCAAGCGGAGACAGGGCCAGACCTGGGGCGGAGCGAGGCGCGCAGAGACAGGCGCGGGCACCCCACACACGCACCGCAGCCGGGCACTGCAGCCCGCCGCCCGCGGAGGACGCCGCCGCCTCGGCTTCGCGCAGCGCGCGCACGCGGGTGGGCGTG